CCTGACGGGCTGCCTGCCTCCCTCCATCCGTGACGAGCATGGTGCTCGCCGCGAGCGCAGCGATGTGACTACGACTTACCGCCCAAACATGTCTTTCAGAGCGCAGTCTTCTGGGAACAGAAAACAAAATTCTGGGGGAAAGAGCGACCGCACCATCACTCGAATATAACCCGTGTACTCGGTGGCGACACGCAGAGGCGGCAAACCAATGGCGTACATGACAGCAACAACCCAGAGGTACAAAACGCACCGGCGAGAAGAGAATAAAGGAAGATGGCGAGGAGCATTCCACTGTCGGCGTGTTCCGAAACATGTTCACTGACCGCGTGCTTCCTCGTCATGATCATCACCCCCATCGTCGTCAGCATCGGCAGCGTCATCGCTCTCATTATTTTCACCATCACTATAATCAGCACCGCGGTTGCCGTCATCACCAACACTGTCGTCATCAGCGTCGTCATCCTTATCGTCGTTTTCTTGGTCGTCGTCATCAACACCACCACCGTGACCACCGTCGTCATCAGGCGCTGGTGTCGTCACCATCACCAACCACGCGCCCGAGTCATGGATTTGCACTATAAAAGGGTCCCCGCGTCTTTGCGCCAGTTGAGTGTTGCCGACACGTTGCTGGCCGGTGGGTGAGATGTTTTCTCGTGCAGTGGAATTGACGACATCCTTTCATGTCATAGACGGCGAGCGCGCATGTCGAAATCGTTGACAAACTCCAGGTTTCACAAAGATTGTCAAATCGATGGTTCGAACATGTCTAGAAACGCATGGTTCCGCAACGAGGGGGTTCAAACAAAGTTTGCGTTCGCGTTCTTGCAAGTTTTTTGTTGGAAACACGGAAACACCTTGCTCAACCAGCTCATATAGTTCGTGCTACCAAATCCGATTCTCGCGGGCGCATGCCGAACAATTTCCATCGGTTCTCACAAAAACAAACGCGCGCGCGCTGCGGCGAATTCCAACAACAAGAAGGAAGAAACAGTCGGCTTTCAACTTTGCAACATTGCCAGCACACTGCGCAACACAAGCCTCTCGTGCGGCATGTCGAACTCATCCGGACGCTCTTGCGCGCGTGCTGGGGAGCACGGTCCGTATCAAAGAATACGACGCAGGCCACTGGCGCGCGTCGGCCGCGCGCGCATGTCGAACTCCGTCCAAAACCTGCATCACCCACGCGATGACATCGTCATCTTTATCCGCGGACGTGATCAACATTGGCGCCGCCATGGGCCTTGCCTTCGTCATCGCCACCATCGTCCCCATCATCATCGTGTCTAGCCTTGTCGGCGTTGCCATGATACCGCGCCCGCCCGAGTCACCGACTCGCACTGAAGTGCCCGTTGGGAAAGCCCAGCGGTCAGCGCCACCGCGGCCGCGTCGGTCGCGCCGCACTAGCTGGTCGCTGCGCGTGCGAGCATGCGCGGGCGATCGCGACCATAAAGGTGCACCAACCATCGAAATCGCCGTCGCATGGGTTTTGCAAACCAAGTTGCGGGTGGGTGGATGGAATGCTTGCGCGAGCGGTGGGGTTGACAATTTCAAGCTCGGCAGGGCGAAGTGCTACACACGGATCGTACCACAAAGGGGGCACATCGAGAATGCAAGACACCACTGCTTGCGGTGCAGGCAGGGGAACACACGCACACAAGCGCCCACACACACACACCTGTATACAGATGTACACATCCTCCAGCATAGGTGTAAATCAATAATATCTGCTATGTGTTGTTTCTCGCGGTACTCAGCCGCGTGCTGGTGCCCACACTTCCAAGCATCCCCTCTCCCCATTGCCTTCCATTTCCCCCTCCATCCGATCCACATCTCATCCCCATTCATCGTCTTTCGGCTCCTCCTCCTCCCCCATCTCTACCTCCTCCCGCCCCTCCCCTTCTCACACTCCATCTGTTCTTTCTCCTCATCCCCCCTGCTCCAACGTATTACCTCCCTCGTCCTCCTCTTGTCCCACCTTCTCTGGCTGTTTCCCCTCCTCACCCTTCCCCCTCTCTCCTCCCCTCCGTCCTCTCCTCGGCATCCCCCTCGCAGGAAAGAGAAGGCGAAGAGCTGTCTTGGCTTGATCTGCTGGTAGAGACCGCAGCCGCGCGATGGCGTGTGGCTGGCGGAAGGGTCCGCTGTTTATACCGTGCGCTGCCGCGGGTCTGGCGCTGGCCCTCCTGTCATGCCCGCCCTGTCAAACGACGCGAAGATCGGGACAAAATCGGATCGGGATAACTCGAAATCTCTGAGAATCGGCGGGTTTGGAGGATGTCTTGGGCGCCGCGGCCGCTCCAGAGCGTTCCAGAACGCTCTGAGAGCGCTCCAGAACGCTCTGGAGCGATGTATCCCGATCCTAGCCCTGTTGTACCCTGCCTCCCCCTCAAGCCTGCGAGAAGGGGCGCGGAGGAAGCGGAGGATGCTTCACCGCGGGGCCCCCCTTCTGGCAGGGGGCGCTGAGGTCCAGACCGGACCAGCACTCGTGGGATCCGATGGCAAGGGGCGGCGGGGTGCCGAGGGAGAGGAGGAGCCGCGGTGTCCCGGCCGCAGCCTCTCGCGTGCCCTTCCTGCCGCTGCCCCTGCTGCTCCTCCTCGTCCTCCTCCTTCCGCCCCCAGCCGCCTCCTGGCCCTGCTCCGTCTCGTGAGCAGGGACTGACCGTCCTGGCATTCCAAAAGGCCTGCCACGACATGTTCTTTGAACCTTCAAATGTTCCAAGCAATGTTCTTCGAACGAAATGCCGCTGTGCTGAAACAAGACAACTCCAGCCAGAACTGCTCTAAGAACATGTCGTGCAGACCACAAACGGTTCTTAGAACATTCTTCGATGGACCTATAGGCGAACCAAGACGCCGCGCCACTGCCTGAGTCCCACTCCCGCCCTTGCACTTACTCCTGCCCGCCCCCGGCCCTCGCGCAGCTTCTCCCCTGCTTCCGTTCTCCCTCCTGCCTCCTCCCTTCGTCCCTCCACCCCTCCTGGTGCCCCCTATCATCCTCCATCCCTTCGTCCCCCCTGCCTCCCCCCTTCGTCCATCCGTCCCTCCATCCCCTCGTCCCTCCATCCGGTCCTCCCTCCTGCCTCCTCCCTCCTCCCTTCGTCCCTCCATCCCTCCTGCTGCCCTCCTCCATCCTGCCTCCTCCCTTCATCCCTCCATCCCTCATTCTCGATTGCCGCCCCTCTCTTCCACCTCCGAGGTCTGTGTGCCAGCCAGCTGCAAAGGCACTCCTCTCCTCCGTGCGCACTCGCCGCGGGTCCACCTGTCCTCTTGGCCCGGCCAAGGTGCTGACGCAACAGCGTGCCCACTGGTATCTTCAAGAGATGTTCACAGGAACTTTGGGGGTCAGGCTAAACGCATGAATCTCAGAATGGAAACGGCGGGTCGAGACTGTGGTGGGGAGGGAGGGGGTTGTCAGGATCTAGATGCCGAGTGCCACCTGGATGCGCAACCGCCAATGAGCAACGCCCGCAGGGTTGACTAAGAACAAATTGAAGAGAAAGCAGTTGAATACACAGTGGAGAGAGAGAGAGAGAGAGAGCGATAGACAGAGACGGGTAAATCGAGAAGAGCGAGGGAGAAATCGAATGGGAGGGGGAGAGGCAAAGAGAGAGAGAGTTATATATATATATATATGTATATATATATACAAGACTGCATTGGCGCTGCGCGCCATGCGACTTGGTCCTTTGAGATCTGCACGGAAGCGGAATGCGTGCGTGCGTACATGCGCGAATGCATGTATACACGCGCACGTGCATGCACGTTCCGTATACATGTCTAGGTGTATACAATATACTTACATTGTTGTATGTGTATACGGCGTACACATGTACATATAAATCTATGTGTGTAAGAGTATGAACATGCATATGCAACTCGTGCGGGCCATCCTCGGGCATCTTCGCTGCATGCCACGAGACCCTCAACGACTGGGTCACAATGTGAAATGTCATGGGAGCAAAATCAATGAATGTTGGCATTCGGAAACATCGTGGGGGTGTTTTCGGGGCCCTCGTGGGCCGTTTTGGCGCCTTCATGGGCCGTCCTGGGGCCTTCTTGGGCCGTCTTGGGGAGCTTGGGCCCGCTGGAGCCCCCTTTGGACCCATCTTGGGCACTTCCGGGGACCTCCCATGGCCCTTTTGGGTCTGTGCTGGAGCCCTTGGGGGGCCTCTTGGTTCTATTATGGGCTGTCTTGGGGCTCTCGTGGGCGATCGTGGGGGCCTGTTCGGCCGTCTTGAAGCTCTCTAGGGGGCGTCTTGAAAGCTGATGGAATCCGAAAAGCGAATATGCTAAACTTGTAAGTTTTACGGAAGAGAATGGGACGATTGTTGTGCTTTGAAGGCCCCTTGGAAAGCTTTTTGGGGTGCCTTGGGGGTCTGTATGTTGGCATTCGGAAGCATCGTGGGGGTGTTTTCGGGGCCCTCGTGGACCGTTTTGGCGCCTTCATGGGCCGTCCTGGGGCCTTCTTGGGCCGTCTTGGGGAGCTTGGGCCCACTGGAGCCCCCTTTGAACCCATCTTGGGTACTTCCCGGGACCTTCCATGGCCCTTTTGGGTCTGTGCTGGGAGCCCTTGGGGGGCCTCTTGGTTCCATTATGGGCTGTCTTGGGACTCTCGTGGGCGATCGTCGGGGCCAGTTCGGCCGTCTTGAAGCTTTCTTGGGGGCTTTTTGGGGCGTCTGGAGGCGATCTCGGGGGCTTTGAAACCGTCTTGAAAGCTGATGAAATGCGAAAGGCGAATATGCTAAAATTATAAGTTCTACGAAGGGAATGGGACGATTGTTGTGCTTTAAAAGCCCCTTGGAAAGCTTTTTGGGGTGCCTTGGGGGTCTTTTGGGCCGTCCTGATGCAATTGGAGTCCCTCTTGGAGCGCTCTTGTGCTGCCTGGGGCCTCCCTTGAGCCTTTCTGATGACCCCTCGGATCGCTCTGGGTCTGCTGGCAAGGCGTTTGTGGAGACCCGGAAAGCCGGGTGACCTTTTCCAGGGACGTCCAAGGGAGCCCGAGAACCCCAGATCCCGGGGGTCCAGTTTTTTTTGTTGGGGGGGGACGGTTCCCCCCCCCCCCCCCCGGCTTGTAAAAATATAGGATGAGGAATATTTGTCTATAGAGACAGCGAGAGAGAGAGAGAGACAGAAAACACGAGCTATGACAGAAAAGGCTAGAGAAAGAGAGAGGGAGAGAAAACACAGAGCGATGATGAACTAAGAGAGGCACGGCCCGACGAGACATTACACGACTGCGTATTGGACGAAGAAGCATGCCCCTACATGTTCTAATACACAAGATGAGCGTTGCTGAGTTGGCACATGTCTTAGACGTGTGCGGATGGTCATGTGGACGCGCGCAAAGAGTGCGGAACTGTCATAACACCCCAGGTGCACGGTGACAGTGCCACTCAAGAACAACAATCAGTGTAAGGCTGTTCGTTCGCATCTGTCCGTGGGTCAATGAGCATGTATATCCCTAGCCATACTCGCCCTCATCGTATACCGTCCCCTTGGGGGCATGTCTTCCTTACCTGCCACGAGTAGCTGGCGCGGGCCCCAAAACAGGAAAAGGAGGGAGACAGGAAACAACAGATGGCGATGAGGAAAGGAGTGCGGGGAGGGAGTCGCATGAACGAACGACGTATCCTGTTCATCTCTGCTTCCCCGCGAGAAAGGGGAGGCACATGGCAACACGTCATCTGAAACATGCCACGGCGTGCACTGCGCCGTGTAGCTCGACATGCCAATCGCAAATAATACATCGCAGGCCAGCGAGGCCCTGCAAAGCTCAAGACCAATGCAACTGCGACTGCATTTCGTAATTACATATGCCTCGAACATTGTTTACGGCCCTATCTAGGACAGAAGACTGGCCTTCAAGAACGTGAGGCCCTCCGCTATCCAAATTGAAGAACATTCGAGGGCACCCTCCCCCAGAATGCAAAAGAACATGCAACAAGCACGAAGACCACTTGGGTACCCTCCCCCGAACAGACCTCGATCTCATACCTCGGTCCGACCGTATCGTGAGGGAGTCACAGACCTCAAGCTCGGGGAGACCGCTCCGCAACTCGATGCCGCCCAAATTGGGGGCGCGCAAACATGGATTAGCAATCCATGGATGTGGCGCGCGGTCGCCTAATCCATGGATCGGGGGAGGTGCCCTCCCCAAAATGCGGCCGGCGCCGCCTCGCTCGGCGGCGGGAATCTGCGATTTCCCATGGAACCGAGACCCGTCGCTAATCCACGCCCCTTGATCCATGTTTGCGATTGCCTGACCAGAAGACCCCCCGAGTTCCAAACCCTCTCATTCACGTCACCCCCGTAGCTTTCGTGGCCTCGCTCGGCTCTTCGTCAACCGTGCGGGTCGACCAGAAACTCCCGCAACAAAAACGCTCTCAGCGAGGCGGAACTGCTTGAAGGCATCCCGAAGCCAGGAAGCCGACGAAGCCCGACGAGAAATCTCTTCCTCCTTCTCCACCTCCTCCTCCTCGTCCTCCTCCTCCACCTCCTCCTCTTCCTTCTCCTCCTATTCCTCTGCCTGCTCCTCCTTCTCCTCCTCCTCCTCCTCCTCCTCCTTCACCTCCTCCTGCTCCTCCTCCTCCTCCTCCTCTTCCTGTTCCTCTTCCTGTTCCTCTTCCTCCTCCTCTTGCTCCTCCTCCTCCTCCTCCTCCTCTTCCTGCTCCTCTTCCTCCTCCTCCTCCTCTTCTTGCTCTTCCTCCTCCTTCTCCTCCTTCTCCTCCTCCTCCTCCTCCTCGTCCTCCTCCCCTCCTCTCCGCATCCGGCAACCACGCGCGTCTCTAACCGGAGCTCAGGGCTGGGAACACTAGTGCCCTCGGAACGCCGCACGCCTCCAAGGTGTGCTGCGCGAGGAACGCTTCGACCTCCGGGTTCTCCGTGAAGGGCGCCTGGGATGGGGCGGTCCGGAGGGGCGGGAAGAGAACTCCTCGTGTTCGAGAACTCCGCCTGCGCACTGTACGATTAGGGACACAAAAAGTGGCATAAACATAAAAACACGGAGGACCGCGCGGATTTCTCGGATTGGCGCTGGGGCCCCCCAGCGGCGCCTCCATCGCCGCCCCTGGCGCGCTCCGCGCGCCAAGGAGGGGGTCCAGCGCCGATCCGAGAAATCCGCGCGGACCTCCGAGTTATAATGTGTATGTCACTTTTTGTTCCCCTAATGGTACTCATCGTTGGTTTTTATACTCATCGTTGTTTTGTACACTCATCGTTGTTGTTAATACTAAATCCCTGCATGTTTAATACATGATCCGCACGCGGAGCATGTATTAAAAACGGCACTGTACCATGTCTGGAGTCCTTCCAGGCCCCGCTCGAGCGCAGCACGGTGCGCACGTTTGTCGGCTCTGAAGGGGGTCTTGAACTCTTCACCGTATACCCTTGCCGGGTCGAGAGGATCGACGACGACTCCGGAGGCGCCAGTGCGGTACGGTGCACACGCAAGTCGTCAGCGGATCGCAGGGGCCCGATGTTCAAGGAGGCTCCCTGCGCTTCGGGCGTCAAGGTCTGCCCAGCGAAGACGCCTCTCGCCCCTGGACGGCTGCGAGCAACAAGTGCGAAGTGTGGAGCGATGCTTGACATGGTCAGGCCAGTCCCTTCCTGCTCGTGAGGGTGCGGGGGAACAGGGGGCGGAGGAGAAAGGGATGCAGAAGAGGGGGGCTGAGCAGGCCGAGGACGAGGCAGACGAGGGGGAGCCATGAGGGAGGCGGGAGGAGGAGCCGAGAGGAGGGCGAAGACAACTTTTCTCGCGAGACAACCCCTCCACGAAGGGATGCCGACATCGGGCACGGCGACCGGGTCGGCTCGAGGGCGACCAGACTGTAGCAAATCGCTCGGGGAGAGCCTCCCCACGACCACCGATCCGATCCTGTCCCCGCCCCCCCTCCTTCCCTCATACAGTCGGGGAGTTGACCTAAGGAACCCTCAATAAGGAACGAGGCCCCTCCTTTCCCAAAAGTTAAACTTCGATTCCCCATCGAAAACCTTGGGAAAACCTGAGACAAGCTGTGAAACAATCAAGGAACACGGAGCGCCTCCCCAACGAAAAGGGTTCCTTCTTCAGGACCCCTACTGCAGGGGGCGAGGGAAGGGAGGAAGAACAAAGGATGAGGAGGTGGAGGAGGACGAAGTCTCCAGTCGCCCCTTCCTGCGGCCAAGGCCGCAATTGTTCACTCCACCCCGCCCCCCGCAACTGCGGGGGAAAGATTGCGCAATCATGTGTCGTGCACACAACGCTGGGGAGCCTACACCAAAAGACGCATGCGCCCAACAACATGCATCAAGAAGCCCCCCACTTCGCGAGATTGGTCACGGATGCTCCTGTGATGAATACTTCCGAAACACATGTGCACACATGCACGTGCACCTCTTTCTGTTCGCTCCTGCACCGCTACGGTCGCCAATAGCAAGACCAAGAATGTCAGGCTGGGTCAGGACAAGTATGGCCACCACAATCCGGTGCACCTTCTTGGGAGGCACCTGCTACGATAACAAATCGGGGGCGCGCACAACCGATGGTGCGGGTTCGCGACGCAACTCTGGTTCTCTGGGTGCCCCGAGGCACCGGGCGTGGCCATGCATCCAAAAGAGTGCTGGGCACCGAGGAGTAGCTGACCCTCGCCGGAAAGAGAAGGAGAAGGAGATACCGGCGTCGGCCAGTAAGCTCGACGTCCCGCAGACGCCATGAGCCATTAATCTTAGTGAGGTCTTGATCTTAGTGTGAGCTCAACATCTTAAGTATGAATGAGCTCTCAATATTGGTGTGATGTCTCCGCCTCTCGCGAGGAGATATCCCTTCCTCCTCTCCTTCTCTCCTCCCTCTCGGGCCCGTGGGGAGGGAGGGAGGGGGGCCAGGTTCTTCTCATTCCTCCTCTTACCCTCTTCTTCCTCCTCCGCTCCTCCTCATCCTTCCCCCCCTCCCCGCGGGGAGGACGAGGAGGAACGGGCTGCAGTGGCGGCTGCCTCAGCTCGTCTGCCCTGGCCGAAGACTGGTGATCGTTTCATCCCTCGAGGGCCCGCACCGTGTTCTTCTCACAACGCAGCAAGCACTGTTCTTCATGTCAGCTCGACGTCGAAAATGAAGGGGCCCCAGGACACACAAAGAAATACGCACAAATAAAACTGCTCCTCATATTTTCCTATGTTTTCTGGGTTTCTGTCCTCCCCCCCAATTCCCATATTTTCCTATGTTTTCTAGGGAATCGAAGATTAATTGTGTCTGTGTGTTTCTTTTCCTCCTGAGAAAAGAGGAACGGGCTCCTGGATGAGCGCGCGCTCCGCGTTGATCTGCGCCAGCCGGTGCGAGACGGCCACCGAGTCCGTGATCGGCACCGCGGCGTCGAAGCCCGCGGTCCTGGCAGCCGCCGGGCGGGACTGCGCGAGCAGGGCGCGGGGGGGGGGGGTCGCAGGGAGGGGAGGCTGACCGTGGACCGGGGGATCGAGGGAATCCACGGGGGGGAGGGGAGGGCGGGAGGGGGCGGGAGGGCGGGACGGGGGATAGGGGTGGGGGGGGGGGGCTGGCGGGGGAGGGGCGCAGGCTGGCGACGACGAGGCCGAGGCGGAGGCGGAGGGTGGGGGCGGAGGGGGGGGCGCGTCCCGGGGGGGGGGGGGGCGATCGATGATGAAGGGGGCGACGAAACGTGCGCCCTCCGTGCCCCATTTTGGGCCCCAGAGGGGGCCACTCAGGTGCACCCCCCTCCCGTTGGTCGCACCCCCTCACATTACACAACGCCCGGGCAGGAGAGCCCAGAATCGAGTCGATCAGTCGGATCTGCGACCGGAACGATTCGGACTGGCGAGACGGCGAAACACGGCAGGCTATAGTAAGGCCTCCAGTGAGAGACACCGGAGTCCAGATCGGAAGCCGAAGCCGAATCGAAGTTAGAATCGAGTAGGAGGAGTCGACACGCTCTTCTGACGGCGCTTGGCTTAAGTCGGGCGTGTCCCCCTACAGGGGGATGTTCTACGAAAAATAAGCAATACCCAAACAATAATAAAA